AGTTAGGCCTATATGAGAAAATGATTCAAAACGCGGTCACACAAAAAAAGGCTGACTTTCAATGACTGACTGGATGGTGCTGTCAAGGGCTGTGTGAGATGTCACATTTAGGATTTCATTTTGAGAACCTGCAGGGGGAAAGAACAGTTTTATACAAAGTTGACTAAATAAAGACCTGCTATGGAGAAGAGCAGTATTACACTAATAACAAATTGAAATGTTATTTCTGTTTCCAACTTTTTCTTTTGGAAAATCATGCTCATGCTGTATTATATATGGTTTTAGGTTTCTGCACTGAGCATTTTGTATTTAATCTAAGCATTGCAGTTTTAAGTTAAAGGTGTAAGTGAATCAAATAGCAACAATTCATAAATAAAAACACACAATCGAATAACATTTGTCACTCACCTTCATACTTTCTTGGTCTCTTCCGACCAAGTCGATCAGCCTTGTAACTCATTTTTTGTAAATATTTTTTTATTTCAGTTTCGCAGTCTACCTGGTGTCACGGTGCGTGCGGGGAGATGAAGCGAGGACTCAATCGCTGGAGAAATTGTATTTTATTTTAGTAACAAATGAAACAAAAACAAACTCAAACCACCCCGAGGGGGAAAAACAGACAGGCAGAGCTAAAGCTGCGCACATGCAGACACGAAACACACACAATGAGAAATGACGGATCAGCACAGGACGGCAGACACAAGGAGAATAAATAGGAACCAAACGAGGAGGCTAACGAGGGAGACACAGGTGGAGCAACTAAAACAATAACGAGGTAACAAGATGGGAGGGGCCAGACAATAGACAGGAGAGAGCACATGGCAACAGACAAACACAACACAAGCCATGTGCTCCCAGAACACAGTCATCTGGTGGCCCTCCTGGGCACACCGGCTGAAGACTGTGACACCTGGTTAATTTTGTGCTTCAGAGCAGCATCTGAAAGAGGAAACTTGAAAAATTATTTCTCATTCTCAAGAACTGCATAGACCCTCGTACAGATGCAAATATGTTGTACACTCAAAATGATAGACATCTCAGGTATTTAATTATTACTTATGCTTACACCACTGAAGTTAATGAATGTGAAGACAACTGCAGACAAAATAATATGGAATAAACCCAAACATTCTTGGTACAGTATGTGGAAAGTGTTCATGCAGCGGTAAGTTTACCTCTGATCACATCTGCTAAAATAAGCTTAGAGAAGGGCCTTTTATCTCCTCTCCCCTGCCAGTTGAACTCCTTAGCCAGATCATCTATTATGACATGTTGCATTATGTACTTAATTACATCCTTTTGCCCAAAACGTCCTGACAGATACTTCACCTGCAAAGATATGTTTTATATTATTATTACATGACTCTCCAGGTTACTGCATTGGATGGTCAAATATTTTGTATAATGGGTGGTCAAATATATTTCTACACTTTATATCTGACTATTGTTCATGCCAACATAATGATGGTAATTTTATATCTTTCATTTGCTCCATCATGCACTGACTGTTAAGAACCAGAGCTGGGTGAGAGAGAACTTATAATGTTCTCTAATATGTGAGCTAGCAAGTCCATCAAAACAGATTCATAATAATGCAGATTTATGTATACATTTTAACATTGTTGTTTTGTTGCTATGGCATTTAATTTCTGTGTGGATTCCAAACAACATTTCATATCCATTTATGTCTTTATTTGATAATTAGCCATGTACAAGAAGGATAATGTACAGTCAGCTTGTCATTATTGCAAAATAAACCCCTTTATGATACAAGTGTTGTTTATTTTGTCATAATGATTGGCCGACCGTATATTTCCTTCTTTAAATGCTGTGTTGACTCACATATTTTTGGCGTGTTTTTACATTGCTGAGCTCTCTTTCAATCCTGAACACATCATCAAAGGTTCTAAGAGGCAGTTTTGGGTTTGTTTTAACATCTTTAGAGGGCCGGCTGGTACTGCTGGGGACCTCAGAAACCGTATTTTCTTTGAGTAGTTTCTTTAACATACCAGAGTTTTCCTGAACCGTGCTCTTAATGTCTCTCAGCATTTGGAGGAGCTCATCCTTGCCTGTTGTGTCAAATAAACTGTACACTCTAAAAAATGCTGGGTTGTTTCAACCCAACTTTGGGTCAAATATAGACTAACCCAACCGTTTTTACATTAAATTTTTAACCCAAAAGTTGGGTTAGTCCATATTTGACCCAAAGTTGGGTTGAAACATCCCAGCATTTTTTAGAGTGTAAGTACAAAAAAGAGCAAGCATCAACTTTGCATTTATTTGATTATATGACCAAATATGATGACTCACCGTCAGCTGACATTCTGGAAGTAATTGGCATAGAAGGCATGTGAAACTGATTAATTGACAGTCCTTGAGTGTACTCAAGTTTCTGTCTTTTTGCTGTTCCAGGGAATTCAGTGGCTAATTGAAATGGCCTTTATTTAAAAAAATAAATAATTTGTTAAGCAAAAAAGTATTAACAAATTTTGAAAAAATGTGTTAAACAAATATTTATTGAAAATAAATATATGGATCTATACTGTTCTTTAACTTGTTTTTGATGCTCCTCAGCCTGATCAAAAGTGGCTGCAATAAGATAAATATTTGAGAAGTGAATAAACAATAAATATTCCTACATTTAATTTTGATGTAATTTTGAAATTGTAGCTGTTACCATGTTCTCCGTGAAAGCTAATATTTAATTTCTCCCATCCTATTGCAGGCTCGTCTCTGTTCTGAACAGCTTCCATACACTTCTCTGTTGATTTGAATGGAGGCCAGTAACATTGTTTCCTGTCTATGCTCAACCAGTTTGATGCTACCACCATCACCTCTTCTGAATTTTGCAAGGTCACAACTGCATACATGGTCAATCTAGTTAAGAAAGAAAAAGAAACACGACAGCATATTTAGCTGTGATTGAAAACAAAATATGCTTTTCAATGTTATAGAAAATTGGACAAATGCCTCAATCAAACATTGATTTGATTTATTTTAAATACTGAATATTAATATAAAACAATGTGGTGTTGAAATAAATGTTGAGCTTTGAGCTTTGAGGTTTAAGTCCCAGGTAAATTTAACTGGGGCTGAAAGCTCCCCAATAAAAGCATTATATTTCAACATTACAGTCATAATTATTGAGACAAGCAGCTCACAGCATTATCAAATATAAAGCTGCTCTATTCAATAGAAGCCAGGACGAACAAAGAGAGGAGCTAATGGAAAATGTTTCCATTTCTTTGGGTATCTGTGAGTATACAGTTATACTATATAAGAAACATCATAATTGATTATACAGAATTTCTTTTTTAATTGTGGATTGAATTTTGCCATTCATTGTTTATGTATTAAAAAGGAACAATGGCTGGTACATACTGATGACATCTAAAAAGTAAACATTATTAAATATTTGCATAAAATATTTACAAATATTTTATATCATAAAGATGTTTGTATAGAGATGTTAGATCCCTTAATCCTACCGCAAACCTAAACATAACCAATTTATAAAGAATATATAAAACATAATGGACAGAAATATGTAGGCCGTGACTGTTTTAGTAGCTTGTAGCATTAAAAAATCTCAATCCTACCTCCAAACCCAACTATAACCATTCTCAAAACATGTACGGTATAAAAAAACATAACAGATAACTGCAATCACAGTCATTTATTTACTGTAAAAGCTGTGGCAAAATTAGTCCAAATGATGGTGTTGCGGTCACAGTCCTCTCTGGAAGTATGCAACAGTTTTGAGTGAAGTGGAGAGAAGAATTTAAGTTGTTAATCACTGAAAATCTTATCCCGATCCACTCTGAAAGCGTGCATTTCTCATTCAAACTAGGTATCTGCAGGCCAGTAATGGGATATAACTGCCATAAAAACTGTTTTATATAACTGCCATAAAACCTGTCATAAAGCTTCTTGAGGCACCAGTTTTTGATTATGTAGCAAGCAAGGGATTTGTTTATGGTTGCTGCTAAGGATGAAGATAAAGGTTACTGAATAAAGACTTAAGTTTGGGTCTGTTTATACTATATATATACATGTACATTATAAAGTATATAATTTATACTTTAGTAATTTTATTTTGGGGTTGTGGGGTATTTTATGGTTCTATTGTCAGTCACAATAGAAGAAAACACGTTTTGTGTCCCCTGGCAAACAAAGTAAATTTTAGGTTTTTCGAAATGTTCGAACAGAAATGTTTTTCGTTTTAAGGTTCTAAAGTCTTGTTAACATTATGTAATTCTTCAAAATTAAATGGCAGCAGAAATGACTCGGAACAGAACAAAATCATTAATTTCATATTAAGTCGATGATTAAAATGCAATTGGTTCATTCAAACCACCCAGTTTTTGCAAATAGTGCTTACTATAAAAAAGTTTTTTATCTCTGTTTGCATTTGCATTGCCTGAAGAAGTGCAGTTACTTGTTTAGCCATATTTATTCAAAGAAAATAAAAACTATAACTATGTTAACTTTATTAATCAAAAACAAAATGAACTAAATGTTTTTTATTATTATTAACTATTAAACTAAAGAAGGCTTTAAAATTCAAATATGATAATATCAGGGAAAAGTTACCTTGTATGAATGATGTCTCTGGGAAAGAACAAGTCTGACAATTCAGTTTCCAAGTTAAGCAAAGAATAAGACTTTTGATGTTAGATCTAATACACATATGGGTGTGGACTTCTTGCTCAGTGACAAATGGTTTACTAATTAATTACTAAATCCTGAACTTTAGCCTGACAAAATAATAGTTACAAGTTTCAGAGAAAATAAAAGTGAAAACACATGAAGTGAAAACAAAGCTTTGCTGTTCACCCTGTAGGCCAAATGTTTGCATATCATACACTCAAAGAACTTCATTAGTTCAAAAGTAAAGGCTTCAGGTCTGTTGTCAGTCAAGGACCTGATTTTATATTTCTGAGAACGTACTGAGAAAGAATGCCTTCTAACGGAAACCACGATTTCTTTAGGACAAGGGTTAAGTTTTTATGATCAAGACAATCATGAATAATTATTAACATTTCAACAGCATCAGCATTACCATATTTGGATGAGGTACATTATGAACATCAACAGCAGTAGTTTTGATGTTGACTCACATAACATTCCTGTGTTACTCAGGAAATACACTACTAGTTAACCACATGCATTTCAATCATGGATCTATATATATGTTATGTATAATTGTTCTGTTATAAATCAGGGGTTTCAATCCCTCCCCACCAACAACTTGTCACTCACATGCAACAATCGCAGCAATTAGCAAACTTTATACACTTTGTACAATCCACTCAGTTCTCGCTTGACAATCAAGCCCCGTCCTATTTTTTCTTCTTGTTTGAGAAGTCGTTTCACTCAGATACAGTACGTCAATATTGGGAAGACAAGAATGTATTTTTTATTCTGACAAAGCTTTTCTAACACTGTAAATACATCAAGAAATTTGAAATATCTTGACAGCCTGTCTTGACTGTCACTACTGCATATGTTTCAGAAAGGCCTTTGCAATTACATTACAATCTATACTGTAAATTAATCAAATGTAGCCTATTCAGGTTCTTGAAAATTAGACAGTTACATTTTTAAGTGTAATTTATGTCTTGCTGTAAAACAGTTATAATAAAAACAACAAATCAGTATACAGTTTGTATATCATGCAGCCCCTATAATAAACCCCAAAGTTCAGAAATTTGATGAAAATGAAATGAACAAACACATTTGAGTAAAAAAAAAAGTTCTAAAACTAAAGAAAACATTGGCTGTAAATGTGTTACACTTGTTGCACAATACAGTAGTTATGTTTCTTTTGTGATTTGTGCTGTTTCTCTTGCTTGATGAGCATCAGTCAGACAGATGATCTAGAAGTCTCTCCAGCTCTTCAATCTCTCTGGAGACATCTAGAAAGACATATAAGAAGATATTACATGACGCAATGACTGAGATTAATCAATCAATAACCTACTTCAGATTGCAAAAGACTATTTGTTTAAACACTTGTTTCTGTGGTGTAGTAGGATGACATTCTTACCCATCCGTGTCTTTTTGCTGTTTTGTGATTGTGAGCGTTCTATTGCTTTCTGTAGTTCATTTTCAAGAGTACTCTTTATGTGCAGCTTTACAAAGAAACAAGAGAACATTCCATTTGTCTTTAGTCATTGTACAGCTGAATACATGATCGTCTTAATGAATGTGAGATCGGTACCTTTAAGTTATTGAACTTTTTAAGCACTTCCATTTTTGCTTTTTTGAACATGTCTTCTTTTTTCTGATCGACTGTGTTTATTAACAGGTCTTGCATTTTCTTCATGGATCCTGTTCCTCTCACAGCTGCAGCTTCTAAAATAAACAACACTCTGTATTCATTCATTTTCTTTCTCATGAAGACACATCAGAACTAGCAAATAAATCAAGTCTTGGATGTGCGTTTCATGAAAGAAATGTATTTTCTGACATGCAGGGTGGCTTTTTCATTAATGAAAGGTGTTTTCTTTTCTGCAGTAAATAACAATTTACATTAAAATAATTTGTGATTAATTGTAACTCAATGCTAGCTTACGCTGATAGCAAGAAGCCATTTCATTCACAATTGTTATTTGTATTGATGAGTAGATGTCCTTCTTCTTGTCAACAATGTCTCTGTTGAGCGCTGCCTTCAGTTTGGTTTCCTTTCACAAGGAGAAAACACAAAAAAGTCCGAAAATTCTAGAAACATTAAGTCCCTGTTTACATCAGTCCATTAAAAGTTAGTTTAGTGTATTTCAGTGCTTACTGCTTTATAATAAAACCAGTCTGCTTAATTATAAGGAGTGAGGATTCATACAGAAGACAGACTTAGGCTGCGTTTACACTTGGCATTAACACGCGGTCACCGTGATCTGATCAAGCAGATCGGATCATCAGTCAATCAGGACACTGCACGTTTACACTTGGCAACATCAGCTGACTTCTCTATCTGGATAACCGATCGGATCTGTATTTCCAGCGCAATATTTAAAGGGGTCATATGATGCGATTTCAAGTTTTCCTTTCTCTTTGAAGTGTTGCAAGCTCTTGGTGCATAAAGTAGATCTGTAAAGTTGCAAAGACTAAAGTCTCAAATCCAAAGAGATATTCTTTATAAAAGTTAAGACTCAACCCCGCCTACCTAAAACGGCTCGTTCTAACACGCCCCCACATGTCTACGTCACTATGTGGAAATATTAGCATAATGCCGCCCAAATGTCCACGCAAAGAAAGAAGGCGTGGTTTCAGGAACAGCAGTAGTGTTGATGCAGTCATGTCAGGGAGACGCTGTGTGATTCAGTGTGAAAGCAAAAGCACTTTATTTTACTTTAGTCTCACTTGCGCTCTGTTCTTCCGACAGATCAAGAGAGAGGGGGGGGGGGCGTTTTGCGTGATGTCGACCTGCGAATGCAGACACGATGGCTGGATTGCATTTACATTACACTGAGATCCGATCACAATGCGTCCTCGACTACCTCTGGACCAGAACACGCAAGAGCCCTGCATTTCAACTGACTTTTTTACGCCTTTACTTTACTATTTACTAATAAACTAGTGCTTTCTGAGTCGTGTCGCAAGGATGAAGTTGCCGATCCTGACTCGCCATCTCATTAGACGCGCCTTTAGAGAGAAGTGCATCTTTACGGATTATGATTATGATGAAACAGTTTTTGTTTTAGTCTATTTGTTTTATTTCGTTTAGTAATTTAAAGCTTTCTATAGATATATTTATCATGTCTGTGAGGCATGTATTCGCTGAGTTTCAGTTCATTTTTTGTGAAGCGCTCCTGTTGAAGAAGAGACGGCAGAAAGCGCATCATGTTTGTTTTCTTTATTTTATAAAAGCACAACGTTTTGTTGATATTGTGAGTGCACACAAATAAAAGTACACCCTTTACAGTTACAAATTATGTATTACTCTTACCTTTATGAGTAAAAATGACGGTGTATCCACTGAAAAAAATGCAAGTGATTGCGCTGGCGCCATGTCCCTTAGCTTCCACTCTCCGCACAAACTATTGGATATAGCGCACATTTATCTAGGTTTGACGTTTAAACATTGTTATATGCTTGAACTGTTTTATATCTATAGATTTTATTTTAGGCAAGTCGTGATGATTTGAGAAGGCTAAATGGATCAAACATAGGCTCACCGTCTGCCGCTGGCCGCTTGGTCGTTACTTTAAAAAACAAAAACTTATATTTAACGAACAAAAAATGCTCCAAACGTTTTTCTAAATTAACTTAAAAAAAAACTAAACGAAATATAATCACTTTGCCATTACATACAAAACTGAACAATTTTAATATCTGAAACAGTAGTATATAATAGATAATTCTGTATAAATAGATAATTCTGATAAACTGTCGGACACGGGCCGGGCCAGGGCCGGGCTAGGGCCTAAATTTGAGGCCCCTGCAGGGCTCTAGGACACGCTGATCGGATAACATTTACACTTGTCTTTTCGATGTGTAACATCCGGATACAGGTCACATGTCAATGCCAAGTGTAAAGTCTAAGTCTGGCCCTTAGAGGATCAGGGCCAGAATGCAACCCATTAGTGTCCCCAAGAGGACAGCTGAACTCACCTCTATTTTGATGAAGTTGTGAATGTGATGTAGTATGTCAGAGCTGGGGTAAGCAGAGTCACTCTGGATGATACTGAACTTGTCAATCTGTTCCTGCACTGATTTTCCTGTTTTTCCAGTTACACTGCAACCAAAAGAAATCCATTTGCAGTTTATTTTTAAAACATTTTACAGAATATAGTTGTAATTCTTGATATATAATCTGAGAATTACTGGAAGGAAATAGTGATGGGAAAGACTAAATTCCCAAACACACAAAGTTTACTTTATATTGCTATTACCTATGCGGTTGTCATATGTGAAATTAACAAAAGATTCAAACCAGAAAGGACTTTGGAGGTGAACAAATAATTTTTTTTTTGTCCTTTACAAAGGTGTATGCGACTGGCTTAAATGACCCATCACGAGAAGGAAAACCAGTACAAACCCACTCATATTTTTTAGTCCTGCGTATGCCTTGTGCGAAAAACATAAGGTTGATGTTTCCTTGACCTCAATGAAAACACTTGACCTCAAATTAATCTGCCACAACAAATAGTCTGCCACAACAAAACTACACCCAATCTGTATCTTCCTGGGCATCTGTCCCATCCGCTGGTTTACTGCGCTACATGTAATCTACAGTTGGTCCACATTTACAAGTCAACAAAAAGCCATTTAAAAGCCAACAATATAATTAACAACAATGTTAATTAAAAACTTGATCATGTTAATTCCCTAAATATCAACAACAAGCATTGTAAATAGTTTATTGCATTTTATTCTAAACTACTCAAAGGGAGACTAGAAATGGAATGATAAAACAGAACTTACGGAAAAATCTTACAGAAATCATCATAAATGTTTTTGTGCAAATGTTTGGCCAATGTCTTGTTCAGGTCTAGAACTACATCCCAATTTTTGGACCAATAGCATCCGTAGTTCTTGCACAAAGCTCCAAGGATTTTATGGAACCCCCTTCCATCTTTACTCTGAGTAACAAAAAATTCATAAAAATTCAAGTGTTAAAAGGACAGTAATTATTAAAATGGTGCAAAACATTTGAATCACACTCACAGATATCATTTTCTTTGTGGAAGCAACACATGAGCTCACTGATTCTTCCAGTCCCTTTGAGAGATGCTGCTCCAGATCTTTATAAATGCTGACAAAATATTTGTCCAGTTCAGATAGTGACTCCTTTAGGTTCTTCTTAAATTTGTTGACTTTCATTTCAATCTAAAACACATCCATACAACAGCAGTGAATTACATAATAATACACAGTGGTAGCATTCTGAAGATGCACTAATTCTATTCATTCTAATTCAGACTCTGTACCTTTTTCTTGTCTTTATCCAGCTGGCCACTTTGGATCAAGGACAAAACTCCCTTTACTTTATTGACATATTCTCTGGTCAATTCTATATTAATGCTCTTGTTAAGATTCCTCAGATCATCCTGCAGATTTGGGATTTCTACAAATAAACACAAGGATGTGATTTGGGCTCATTTGGTCAGTGCTTTATCTCGCTTTAAAAAATATTTTAACATGCACTTAAAAATATTCATGCAACAGTTTGACAAGTTTATTTCTTTTCTCATGAATGAATAAAGTTGTAAAATGAAAGCAATAGACAGAGGATAGCTTACCTGTTTCACTTGATTCCAGATTTAAATTGTGGTCAAAGAATGCATTGGAACTCACAGTAAAAACTTGAAACTGATTGTCAGTGTTGAATATTTTCTAAAAACGAAAAAAAAATGTTTCACTTTATTTTGATAGTCCCTTTTAACACATTCTGTTAAATACTCTGAGAGTTAGTGGACATGTAGGTGCAATGTTACTTATTGTCAACATAATGTTGAAAAGGGAACATCAAAATAAAGTTACCGGAAAAAAAATCATATCAATAGAGTTTTAAAACATAATGGTAATAAAGAACATTTGGCAAGAATTAATACCTTGATTTCAGAATTTTCAAACTTTTCTTTGACCCTTGTCTTGGCATGTTCATTTCTATGAAGTATGCATGGTTTTTTCTGATCCTAAAGAATAATTAAAAACAAAACACACACACACACACACACGCACACATATGTATGTATGAGTATACTGTAGGTCTATTGTAAAATCTGATTCATGGGTTGATCATAAACTATAAAGATTCTCCTTTTCATCTCAGTAAATTATTATATTCATTAAATTTCATTTACAGTGATATAAGCCCTCACTGACATTATTAAAACCAACAGTACAAACGGGAAACTGACAGCTAAATTAAGTACTGGTCTATGAAAACAAAGGGGCCATACTACAGAAACACTGCTAGTATGGTCCTTCTACATTTTCCAAACCTTGTCTTCTGGAATTTGGTCTCTTGGAAGCCGTGCAGATCTAAAAAAGAATATTAAAAAGTTGCAAAATGTTGCATGCTTGCTACTAGATTACTGTAATTACTCCGATTTAGACCACTTCCGAGCCCTTCATTTCCTATAGTATTCACAAAATACCTAATATACGCTCCTAGATTGATATCATCAGTCTTTGTACAGATGAAATTGATGCTTTTGCATTTTCCTCCTGGTCCCAGTTCTTCAATGCAGTACTTTAATATCCCCCAGGGGTCTCTGTCAGAGATTGCTCGCTTGATATCACTTACAATCCACACAGAAGAGCACTCTCTCAGTTTCTACAAGATTTAAAATAGGACATAGTTATGGTTTATATTAGCACAATAGATTATACAGTGTATATGTGTGTAAATGTTTCATGAAAATAAATATATTTACAGATTTCCACAGGTCATCTCTAATCTTATTGCAGTCTCCAGTACCAGGCAGATCAAGAAGCACAATGTGCTCCAGGAATTCATGACAGTGGGGTACCTTGATCGTCACGCTCTTTACAAGCGGCCAGAACCAGTCACCAGAACTTGACTCACTGTTGTATGAAACTTGCAACTTCGTTGGTAAATTCAGAGAGCTGTTGAGATAATAAATTGCTATGTTTTACTCTGCTGAAAAGCAAATTAGCAATGCATTATGCATTTAATGTAAAATATTGAACAGTCTCATGAAACTTACATTACTGTTTGAGATTATTTTCTTACTGATAGACAAAAATGCTTCAATCTCAGCAAATTTTTCATCATTCTGGAGCTCTTCTAATGTTTTCTGGTCTGCATCAGCTCCATACAGCGCAGTGATCTTTTCTACACCAATTTCAATTAAGTCCTCATTCCTTTCCTCACTTTCATCTTTCATATCTTTGAAAACATCTTTAAGCTCATTCTCCCACTCCTGCAGAGGTACACAGCACAAAGTATAGAGAAAAATAAGGCTTGGTTCTGCTCTGTCCAGTCTGGTTTATTTACATATTTATCCACCTTTTACTTCAACGCGGAAGTAAGCTATGGGTGAGACTTCCGGTTCATTATGCGCTTTAGGGAAATAACAAGAAGAATAATGAGGAAACCTCTTTAGAGAAGAGATCGATCTCTGCTATGTAGTTGGAGTCAGTCAGATTGGCTTCCACCTGAGTAACAACAGCTGTACAAGCACCAAAACAACCAGATGGTAAGAGTTCCTTTTTCCCCAAGATTGCACTTAAAAGGGAACTCTTTCCTTCTCCTGATTTTCCAAAAATCCCTATGGTTGCCTTCTTCCTGCTGCCTTTATCGTTTTGATCTGAGTTTTTAGTGACTCTTTGCAGAATTTGCCTTGCATTCTCCGTGATCATATCTGTGTACAACAAAAAGAGAGTTACAATGGGCTTGACAATGGGTGTGCCTGCATATACACACACACATACACACAGGCATGTTTCTGATTAAATAACATTTTTCTAAGCAACATAAGTGACAGATGTTTAATTCTAAAATAGTATATGTTTTACCAGTGCATTGTATGTAGTTCTAATATATAGTGTTCAGTCATGTAGCATTTATGGCTCAGGTGCTGGACTCAAAATAGCCATCTGTCCAGGGTGTTTCTGGGATAGGCTCCAGCATCCCCATGATGCTACATATGATAGACCATTTAGAAAATAGATGGATGGATGTGATATGACCTTTTTAAGTTAGTGTGCGTGTCTAAATTCTGCAGATTTTTTATAGGCAACTAATTGATTAATTACTAGTACAGATTAGAGGTGGACAGATTCAGATTTTACTTGCCTGTTGTCAGTGTTGTCTCTATACTCGAGTCAGATGGTTCATGATCTCGTTTTCTTTTAGTACCTATCAGAGAATTCATCCCACTCATTATTTGTCCTTAATCACAGACTGTACAATGATCTTTAATTTGCATACCTTGGCTAGCCATTGTAGGATCGATGGGAAGTCCTGGAGGGGAAAGAACATATTAAAGATGTTAAATTTTTTCTTACCAATCTTTTAAGAACTTTTTTGTTCTGATTACAACAAAATTAATTGTCTCACTATCAGAGCAAGTTCTAGATTGTGATAGTACAGGATGCAGTGGAGATGTATTCTTCTTCATCCCATGAAATTATTCCATCTCTTCTTTTGGTGCTCCACAAAAGGCTGATCTATAAAACAGTAAAGAAAAAAACTGTGAATTAAAGCACAAGTTAAATAATGTACAGTTTCACTAATTATGATGTCCTCAAAGATATGTACAGAAATACCGTCGCAAATCAGCAGCTACTGCATTTCCTTATGGAAATTCAGATGAGTAACAAGTCAAGTCAAGTCACTTTTATTTCTGTAGCGCTTTATACAAAACAGATTGTGTCAAAGCAGCTTCACAGAGATCAACGGGAAAATAGTAGATACAGTTATGTACACTCCTTCACAATTTTGTTTCATAATGCTACTTATGAGACAAAGTGTACAAATATATATATATATCGGAAAAACGAGTTTTTTGTTGTTTCTTTGTTTGAGTTTCTTTAATAAGGGAGTTAGGGAACATTTCTCTGCTCCAGCTCATCACTTTTGCTCTTGAACAAAACACAAGAACTACGAGTCACTTTAAATTGAGAGTATTTCCTAACCTGCATCAAAGTATGTTTAAAGGGGTCATATGATGTTGCTAAAAAGAACATTATTTGGTGTATTTGGTGTAATGAAATGTGTTTATGCGGTTTAAGGTTCAAAAAACACATTATTTTCCACATACTGTACATTATTGTTTCTCCTCTCCGCCTTTCTGAAACACGTCGATTTTTACAAAGCTCAACGTTCTGAAAAGTGAGGTGTGCTCTGATTGGCCAGCTATCCAGTGCGTTGTGATTGGCTGAATACCTCAAGCGTGTGACGGAAATGTTACGCCCCTCACCATACTGTGATGCCGTGTCCCAGTGCAATGAGGCAAAACCAATAAAACCCATTACAAACGAGGCATTTGTTGCATCCAGTGGGGACATAATTACTGATTATAATGACTTATACTGTCTTTTTACGCATTGCGTTGCATCGCGCCGTATAAACATAAAACCATGTCTGCATTTGTGATCGGAGAAACGACAAACAACAAGCGCTACTCTACACTGCTCAAAACTCGCGTTTGAATCATCATGGGCAAATTCTTGAAATATGAAAACGTACTTACAGGCTGTGAGTCAGCATTATTTGTCAGAACACCGGCATTGTAGGCTACTCTCCCAGGAAACAGTGCTCATCCTCCGTAAAATGCACTGCACACATCTGAATATTTGGGTTAAACTGTTCTGGAACAGTGTTGTAAATACAACTTAACCACTTATTTCTAGTTGTGTCCTCTTTTGGAAGACCAAATAAAGTAGTTTCGCTTTCACAACAAAACACAGCGTCTCCACGACATGGCGGCGGCAGCAACAATTCTACAGCGAGAATCAAAGTTACACCTTCTTTCTTTGCGTAAACATTTTATGTGGTGTTATGGAAATCTTCCCACATCGTGAAGTAGACATGTGGGGGCATGTTTAAACGAGGCCTTTTAAGAGGGCGTGGACAAGTCTTAACTTTTATAAAGAATATTTCTTTGGGTTTAAGACTTTTGTCTTTGCAACTTTAGGGATCTTATCTATTCACAAACAGCTTGTAATACTCCAAAGAGAAAGGAAAACTTGAAATCACATCATATGACCCCTTTAAAGCATATTATGTATATGGAAAAGGTCAGGATTTAGCAAAGATTTTAACCTATGTGCTCAGAGTATTTCAGGTTTCTCTGTTCAAATGTCCCTTTTATCATTATCTTCAGCTTACATCGACATCCACTGATTCATCTTTGTAATAGATTTTACACTTATAATCAATCCCATCATCCCTTTCATCTGCTGGAGAGCAATTTTCTGCTAATTCCTCTTCATTATTCAGAGATGTCTCCATGTCCCATTCATTACAGACCTCATCCTTACAATAATTTCCTAAGCAGTTTAATTGTAGCAATTCACCGTTTCCTCTGGATAATATCTCCATTTCGTATACTTCATTAGTACTGTTCTCCACAGTAGCTCTGACCATATCTAGGTCCTCAGATTGAAAGCAAACTATCACACTTTGTTTGAAAATAAAAACACCAAAGTTTTCTAAATGTCCAAATAGCTGTAAGGCGTAGCTTTTCAGAGCCAATGTAATGAGTCCTGGGGTCAAAGGGCAGCCCTGATGCAGCACTTTGTACTTCTCAACTGAAAAATCTTTTTGCATCACTGAGGTTTTCTATAATGAGAAGACGTTTTTGCTGTTCCAGCTCATCCTTAATATGACTTAAACTTATTAAAGTGCAATGTGTTTTGGGAGTGATCATGACAGTAGCAGAATATTTTGTTATTCACCCCTTTGGAAGAGTCTCCATGACGTCTTCTACATTTCTTGCCAGAATAGTTGCCATGATGAGTCAGTCAACGTTAAAGGAGTGTTGACTATCGTCATGTGGACTTTTCAGAGATTAATTAAAATATCTCTCAGAGCAGTTAAATGCACCTCTGTGGATTCTGTCATAGAACATCTTTATGTATGGAATTATAACCTGAATGTTGTCTTTATAGAAGGAAACTGGGATGCCGTCTGGTCTCGGTGTGTCTGACACCTGAAGAGAATTTACAACTGACACAATGTCAACCTCAGTGACTGCATGTGAGCTTTCTTCCTCCAATAATGAACCTACCATTTGTCAATAAAACACATCATATAACAGGCAGGTACAACTACAGTCATAATTTATTTAAAAAAATTAATTAATATTCCAAGTCTTCAGATGCAAAACAATTGATTTGTGAGAGGAATAGACATGATCACTGTCTCCACCCTCCATAAAGCTCAGATCATGTGTGCACTCTGTGCGCAAATTCAAAAATTGCCACCAGAAGAAGCCTTACGTCAGCCTTGGTAGTGAAATTGTCTCTTGTGTGTTTCATGACCAATTGCATCATGTTAAAGTATGGGAGTATCATTTTGAATGAGATGTGTGCGCATTAATGGCGCGGGATCATTTTCAGTGATTAAAATCTAATGTTTTACTCTCTTCTTCACATAAAGATATCATATGGCTTCAGCAGTCTTGGAATGCAACACGACTTGTTTGAAATACTTTTAGACTGCTGTTTTATGGTCAGTTTTTGCAATAAATACCTGTGACTGTACTTTTATGTGCCTGTTACGTGTTTTATTGTTCAGAAGTGGGTAGGTTTAGGGTAAAGATGGGATTAGGTGCTCCAATTAAAGTATACATTTATATATAATTTCTATTTTTTAACAAATGCATGCAAATCATAAAGTTAGGGATGTTCATTTTGCTTATTTTTCTGAACAACAACTGACGCTCATTAACCGGTCATTAACCATTAACCGTTAACAAAATTAGAATGGATACGAGTGTGTGACCCATTAAAAACATAAATTTTTTTCTTCGGGGGTTTAGTGCATGTGCAAATAACAGCACAAACAACAGAACATGAGGATTCACACATCGTCACATCATGCACCTGCAGCGCTGTGATGAAAGGAAAACAGAATAAAATGCCATATATAAAAGGAATAAAAAATATGTTTTACATAATAATTAACTCATTAACAAAACCAGTGCAGTTTGCTCTACACCACAGCTCGTACTGTACACGGACCCTCATATACTTCGGCCACAAAAATTAAAGCAGATTGCAACCTGAATTAGAGAGTTCCTGGAGCGTCATAAGTTCTATTACTTTTGTAAGGCATATTTGGAGTTTCTGCGCAAGGGTGCCCTCTAGCTGCAAGTATAATGAGACATAAATTACATGTGTTTACAGCGCTACTGCTCACCCACCTTATTTTGGGTAAAAATAGTTAAAGTACGATTTTTAAGTAAACATATGATACTCCATATGTTGTTCTCCAGTATATAGGAGTTTTATTTTTTTTCCATGCTTAAGTGACATCGTTGCCAGCTGACTTACGTCACTTAAGAATTTCTACTGACGGTGCAATGTAACCAAGAAAATGGTCCTTGGGAAACATTTAGTTCCCCCAAAAGGCATTCCTAAAACTAAATGTGTTCCCAGTTCCTGTGGTGTGAACACACCAAAGAGCAGGATGGCATCCCACTTGTTGAAAAAAATGACAAAAAGCATCCATGCCCTTTTAGATTATTGCTGTTGTTTTATTATGTAAAACTTATTATGCAAGTGAATATTAAAATCCTCTACATATGATAATTTGTGGAGATTTTGGAAAAACGGAAGATTTTAGCATGGTGATGGATATGACAATGTTAATGTATTTGGTCTTGGCGGAATAGATCTGCTACGCTGCTGCTGCTGCTGCTGAATTGCTGCTGCTGTTGGTTATTGCTGTAGTTGTAGATTATTGCTGCTGCTGCAAGCAAGTACAGGAACCTGCTACTGCCAATCCATATGGCGATATGGTGCCGTGAGTATTTAAGACATACTGCTGCTGCACAAATAGCATATAAAATAACCCGTAGCAGATCTGTACAGGTGGAGCTGGGGAAGGTGGAGTGTTTCAGAGAAACTTTGAAAGCACGCTGCAGGAATCTCAAGTGAATGCTAGCGAGCCATATAAATGCAAGGCAGTAAGCTCATTGGCTGCATATGCAGCATGAACCAATCAGCTTGTGCCAAGTCGTTTAACTCTGATATCATCAGTTACGTTAACAATCTAGAGTTTCATGACTGAACTATATATTTATATAAATTAAAGAATTAAAATCACATTAAAGAAATGCTTGCAGACCTCCTAAGTTACCGAGTGATTACTTACTGTAGTAGTGGCAGATTAAAGGTAGACAGATTCGGATTTTACTTGCCTCCTGTCATCGGTGACTTTGTACTTGAGTCAGATGATTTATGATTACACTTTCTTTTAGTGCGTCACTGTAAATTAAACCTGTAATGCAATTTTACTGTGGGGGCCCGAGTCAGTATGCTGTTCAGGGAGCCCATAAACCATAGCTGCACACCTGCTCTTTGCTTAAACATATTTTCATTATCAAACATCATTCTTTTAGCTTACATTTATTTATTTATTTATTTATTTATTTTATTACGGACACACCATAGTTAACACAACCTTAAAAAAATTTAAAATGACAAAACTTTTTTTTTTTTTTACTTTATATTGCGCTAAATTATTATTGTTATCTCTTTAATCATCCTGGGCTGCGTTTCTCGATAACGATTGATCTTAGAGCTTAAGAGCGTTTTCTCCGAGTCATTTTACAATCGTTCGTTATTGTTTCACGTGCATTTCCCAAAAATGCACTTAACGCAATCGCACGTAGCCATGCTTTAGGTGCTACTTAGGAGTCGCTATCCGTTTGTCAAGTGCTGAAATGTCATCTTATAGAATGGCTCGTAATTGTAGTACACGCGCGTTTTGAAATGTTAACCTAATCTACGTTCCAGACAACTTGGATATAATAACTATTATTATATTATGTTATATTATATTATATTATATTTATACGTATAATATTATACTTTACATAGCCTAATAATATAGCCTATAATATACTTTATATAAAAATAGATTATAGTATATAATATCTACATAGAGACGTTATTTCCGGGTCCAATACATTGGTTTTCGTGCACGTCAATAAGTCATTGACAGATTTGAAGCATATTTACATTACTTCTTTTATTCTATTTATTCTAATAATTATAATTATTAAATAATTATGTTGATTATTTATTCTATTCTATCTTTTATTCTTCTTCTGTTTTTT